CATAAACCTCTTCCTTTATCAGTTTCATGTTAATTTGACCAAATTGTTGTGTTTTACCAATATCTGGCCAATACTGCTTACATTTCTCCTGAAATAACATAAAGTATCATCGTTTTTCTTAGCATCCCAACTGTTATCTATTAACACAGAATTTGTTACACCAGGTGATAATGCTGCGAGTATCATATTTCAAAAGCAAAATTCATCATGCTCCTCTTCCATTTCTAGATAATCGTACACAGGACAGCCAGCATTTTCACGAGCTGGTATCGCTTATGACAAAATGATATTGAAAACATCTTTACTGGAAATGACCATAGTTTGTTAATCCATGCGATTACAACAATTGTAGGACAAGATAACGTAAGATTATATTGTGCACAGCGACAACCCATTGAGGCGACTTTATGCACTAAAAAACTTGCACATAATAATTTAAAATATTGAGATTGTAAATGAATAAAAGAAAATTGATTTTGATTTTATACATACAATTGCGTTTTCAAACAGATTTGTTAACATAACTATTTTACTAGCATCAATATCCCATATCATTCTTATAAACTCTTCCATATTAACTCCAATGGGTCCTGGAATATGATAATATAATGACATTAAATCTCGTCTTCAAACCTACTTCCAGGACGGAAAGGTACAACGATTATTCGAAACATAAATATGAGAAACAATTCATATGACTATCAATCGTAATTGTTGTTTGTCGGTGACAATATTCATATTGTCAGATTATAAACGGTTACTCATTTCCTACTATAACAAAACGGAAAAAAAAACGATTCATTTCAAAGAATTACTTCTTTCAAAGATAATTTAGCGATAAAAGTTTTACTGGAAACCAACACTTTACCTTGGGATGCGATATACTTCAAAGTCTGATCATATTTCTATAATATAAAAAATATGCAAATATTTTGTGTGTGAATTGTGCGTAAACGTGTTTTTTAAAACTTACAGTGATAAAACACACAATGACATATTCTAAATCACTGTAAGTTAAAACTATATCTTACAGTAATATAACAGACATTGATATAATCTGAATTAAGATTATTATCAGTTAAAACTATATCTTACAGTAATATAACAGATATTGATATAATCTGAATTAAGATCATTATCAGTTAAAACTATAACTTACAGTAATATAACAGACAATGATATAATCTGAATTAGTATCATTATAAGTTAAAACTATATCTTACAGTAATATAACAGACATTGATATAATCTGAATTAAGATTATTATCAGTTAAAACTATAACTTACAGTAATTTAACAGATATTGATACAATCTGAATTAAGATTATTATCAGTTAAAACTATAACTTACAGTAATATAACAGGCGTTGATATAATCTGAATTAATATCATTATCAGTTAAAACTATAGCTTACAGTAATATAACAGACATTGCTATAATCTGAATTAAGATTATTATCAGTTAAAATTATATACCTTACAGTAATTTAACAGATATTGATACAATCTGAATTAAGATCATTATCAGTTAAAACTATAACTTACAGTAATTTAACAGACATTGATATAATCTGAATTAAGATCATTATCAGTTAAAACTATAACTTACAGTAGTTTAACAGATATTGATACAATCTGAATTAAGATTATTATCAGTTAAAACTATAACTTACAGTAATTTAACAGATATTGAAACAATCTGAATTAAGATTATTATCAGTTAAAACTATAACTTACAGTAGTTTAACAGATATTGATATAATCTGAATTAAGATCATTATCAGTTAAAACTATAACTTACAGTAATATAACAGACATTGATATAATCTGAATTAGGATCATAATCAGTTAAAACTATAACTTACAGTAATATAACAGATATTGATATAATCTGAATTAAGATTATTATCAGTTAAAACTATAACTTACAGTAATATAACAGACATTGATATAATCTGAATTAAGATCATTATCAGTTAAAACTATAACTTACAGTAATATAACAGACATTGATATAATCTGAATTAAGATCATTATCAGTTAAAACTATAACTTACAGTAATATAACAGGCGTTGATATAATCTGAATTAGGATCATCTGCTAGTGGTTCTAGTATGACTCTGGTGTCATCAACTA